CGAGTGGCCTCAGTTCATATCACTGTTTAAATGTTTAGTACATGACCAACCCCTCACCGATACACAGAGAGTGACTTACCTCCAGAGGGTCTTGGTCGGAAATACGAAGAAAGCTATTGGAGGGATGCTAAATCATGGTCATCTCTATAAGGCAGCACTGACAGAACTTGAAGAACAATTTGGAAATGAGGAACTTGTTGCTGGAGCCTTCATGAAGACTGTACTTGATCGCCCGATCGTTGTCGAGGGAGACCTAACACAGCTTCGTTCATTCTACAACATGCTACACAATGCAGTCGCCACGATGAAGAGTTTGGAATACTCTCATGATTTGGCATCTTCCACTAACACGCGTGCTGCGTTACTGAAATTACCTGACCGGTTAAAGGAAAAGTGGGGAGAAAGGAAGATTGAGATACGTCCCACCATTCTCACATTAGTTGATCTTGACGAATGCGCCGTGCGACACTACGTGCCAACACTTTACGCAGGGAACCCTTACCAAGCCTCGGTAAGCCGTCGAAGGGCGGACGATCTGGCTATAGAAGACCGCCGCGAAAGGGAGATCAAGGCATCGACAACCGTCAAGAGCAGCTTCACAGATGCTCAACCCTAGCTACAGGTGCCATGACAGGGAATCAGAACTTGCCCACAGCCAACACCTATCTGATATGCAACAAGAAACACAAGATTGAGAAGTGCGACAAATTCATAGCGATGGATGTTAATCAGAGAGCTCAGTTAGGCAAGGAAAAGAGGTTGTGCTTTTCCTGCTTTGAGTCGGCNCTGACAGAACTTGAAGAACAATTTGGAAATGAGGAACTTGTTGCTGGAGCCTTCATGAAGACTGTACTTGGTCATCCGATTGTTGTCGAGGGAGACGTAACACAGCTTCGTTCATTCTACAACACACTACACAATGCTGTCGCCACGATGAAGAGTTTGAGATACTCTCATGATTTGGCTTCTTCGACTAACACGCGTGCTGCGTTACAGAAATTACCTGACCCGTTAAAGGAAAAGTGGGGAGAAAGGAAGATTGAGATACATCCCACCATTCCCACATTAGCTGATCTTGACGAATGGCTCCGTGCGAGACTACGTGCCAAAACTTTAGTCAGTGAACCCTTACCAAGACTCGGTAAGCCGTCGAAGGGCGGAAGATCTGGCTATAGAAGACCGCCGCGGAAGGGAGATCAAGGTACCGACAACCGTCAAGAGCAACTTCACAGATGCTCAACCCTAGCTACAGGTGCCATGACAGGTAATCAGAGCTTGCCCACGGCCAACACCTGTCTGATATGCAACAAGAAACACAAGATTGAGAAGTGCGACAAATTCATAGCGATGGATGTAAATCAGAGAGCTCGGTTAGGCAAGGAAAAGAGGTTGTGCTTTTCCTGCTTTGAGTCGGCAGACCACCAATCACGTGACTGCTCGCGCAAAAAACGGTGTGACGTGGAAGGTTGTGACAAATACCACCACTCGCTAATCCACTGCGCGGCACCGGTTTTCGTTGCTCCGCGACCTTTGAACAGCGCGTCACCCGTATCGACTTTGAACGCCGCAGCACCCGTCTTCGTCGGAGCTTCGTCTGTGAACTGGGCCCCTCTGTTGTTCTGCTGCAAATCGTACCCATAGTAGTTGCGACTTCCAGTGGGGTTAAAGTAAATACATTTGCGCTGCTGGACTCTGGCAGCCAGACTTCGCTTGTCTTGGAAAAATTTGCTGACGCTATTGGCCTGATTGGTGAGGATAGCCCTTTACAACTTAGCACTATTAACTCGTCTGGTGAACCAGTACATTCGTTGAAGGACCAGAGACAGGTGTCCAGATAACCGTGGAAGAAGCCTGGACAATACCACATTTGAACCTGCCCCCGCAAAGAGTTACACGTACAATGATGCAGGATTTCCCACACCTGTCTAATCTTGGCATCCCCGAAGTCGATTCCGATGACGTGAAGATTCTGCTTGGAGCAAACGTATTGGAGGCGATATTGCAGCATGATGTACGAAGAGGTCGTCCAGGGCAGCCCGTTGCAATTCTCACAGCCTTTTGTTGGACCCTTCCTGGTTCAGTTAAGTCAATCGTGAAACCCGAAGGTCTACATGTTATGCATGTGCACCGTGTCTTGAATGTTGAAGAGTCCTTGAACAAGCAAGTAGAAAAACTGGTGGCGAACAGAATCCTTTGGTAAAAAGTATGAACACGTGACACTCCGTTTCTGCCGCACCATCCAGTCCGTAATCCCAATAGGCCGGACAAAGTCCGAATCGTCATGGATGCAGCTGCCAAATATGACGGAGTATCCCTGAATGACGAACTTCACACCGGGCCCGATCTCCTGAATAGCCTAGTGGATGTGTTGTTGTGATTTAGAGAACAGCGTGTTGGCTTAGCCACTGACATCGAAGCCATGTTCCATCAAGTTCAAATAATAGAAGAAGATCAGCCCGCCCTGAGATTCTTGTGGCGGAACCTGGAACTGGAACGCCCACCTGATGTGTATCAGATGCTCGTCATGATTTTCGGAGTTGCGTCTTCCCCGTGTATGGCGAACTATGTGTTGAGAAAGACAGCACTTGACAACCGTCAGGACGTTGCGTTTTCTGTTGACACGATCAAGTCAGTTAAGAAGAATTTCTACATGGATGACTTTCTGAAATCCGTATGTGATGAAACCACCGCAGAGCGAATGTTCCGTGAAATGATCTCTCTCTTGGCGCGTGGACGTTTCAGGTTGACAAAGTGGATCAGTTCCTCGCGTGAAGTCCTGTCGCAGATTCCTCCTCAAGAGAAAGCTAGCCCGTCAGTCGATTTAAACTTCGATGAACTACCAATTGAAAGCACACTGGGTTTGAAATGGAACACTGAAACAGACTGTTTTCGTTTCTCCGTTTACTCACATCAGACACCTGAGTCAACCAAGCGCGGCGTCTTAAGTCGCCTATGAACGGTGTTCGACCCACTGGGAGTGCAAAGCTTCATACATGTTGCCTGCGAAATGTCTAATCCAATCGTTATGGCGTAAGAACAAAGACTAGGACGAGCCCTTAGATGAAGGGGACCAGAGTATCTGGAAGGATTGGCTCGAAGACCTGATGAGACTGAGTAAATTGGAATTGCCTCGTTGCTTCTGTGTTAACACGTGTCCTGAAGCGTCGATACAGCTTCATGTATTCGCCGACGCGTCTGAAATGGGCTTTGGTGCCGTGTGTTACGCTAGATACTCACTTCCTAATGGCACGATTAAGGTTTCGTTTGTTATGGCGAGGAATCGTGTGGCACCCCTAAAGCAGTTAAGCATACTTCGTTTAGAGCTTCAAGCAGCTGTCTTAGCCGTAAGGTTGTACTGCGTGGTCAAGCAAGAGTTGACTGTTATCATCAAAGATACCATCTTTTGGAGTGACTCGAAAACTGTGTTGCAGTACATAGCTAACGAAAGCCGACGTTTTCACACATTCGTGGCCAACCGGGTCTCAGAGATTTACGACACAGCCGGCACTTTCCCGGTCACTGTAATCCTGCCGACGATTGCACCCGAGGCCTTCGAGCGGCAGATTTGGATCATCATTGCCGATGGCTCAATGGCCCTGCCTTCCTGTCCAAATCTGAAGAGTACGTTCCTCAAGATACGTTTATGGGACCCCTCCGTGAAAAGGACGAAGAAGTGAAAAACACAAAGTGGTCAGGGCGTACATCTGTTAGCGATACAAGAGCGCACTTTCCAGACCAAAAGAAATTCTTCTCTTGGATAAGATTTCGTCGTGTCCTCGCGTGGATTTGTCGTTTCGTCGAAAACTGTAAAAGAAAAGCAGAGAATCGCGTTCTGTCGTCTCTTACCGCCACAGAAATTCACAACGCAGACTAGAGATGATCGCCGTACGTACGTAAAAGTCAAAGAGACTCGTTTCATCTTGACTTTGAAGTGCTAAGAGCAAAGAAGCGACTACCAGTTAGAAGCAGACTCAGCGCCCTTAACCCCTATGTGGATGAAGCGAAATGCTTGAGGGTAGGCGGTCGCCTACGCAAAGCCTCCGTTCCCGAAGAGACTCGACACGCTTTGGTACTGGATCCGAAGCACGAGATAACGCGTCTAATTGTAATGCACAATCACCTCCGTTTGTACTGTACAACTAACAGGTACGTTTTGAACCAGCTGAGACAGAAGTATTGGATCCTGAAAGGGCTGGCCACGGTTCAAAGGATTTCGTCCAGTTGTCCGTCGTCCCGTAGACTGCGAGCGAAACCCGAACCGCCTGTCATGGCTGATCTGCCTGATTCGAGACTGGGATATCAGCAGCCGCCCTTTGCAAATACCGGAGTTGATTACTTTGGCCCAATACTTGTGCGCCACGGAAGAAAAACAGAAAAGCGCTACGGTGTGCTTTTTACGTGCTTGACTACGCGGGCGGTACACCTTGAAATAGCTCATTCGTTGGACACTGATTCTTGCTTGATGGCAGTTAGAAGGATCATGGCCAGACGCGGAAGGCCAGCCAATATTTGGTCGGATAACGGCAATAACTTTGTCGGGGCCGAAAAGGAACTCCGAGAAGCCCTCAAGCGCCTAGACAGTGAGCGAATTGGTGATCAGTTGTCCGACGAAAGAGTGCAATGACACTTCAATCTCCCGTCTTCGCTGCACTTTGGAGGTGCGTGGGAACGTCTTGTTCAGTCTGCTAAAAGAGCGCTTAAAGCAGTTGTGAGAAAGCAGTGTGTCAATGATGAAACGTTGCTTACATTTATGGCTGAAGTGGAGGTGGAGTCATTAATGAATGGTCGCCCTGTTAGCACTGATTATCGTGACGAAGAAGCGTTAACGCCGAATCACTTTCTGCTCGGACGAGGAAACCCTAATTTCCTGCCAGATGTCGTCAACGACAAGGACTTGTGCAGCCGAAAGAGGTGGAAGCACGCACAAGTTATGACCCAACACTTCTGGAAACGTTGGCTCCGGGAATACCCACCAGTGTTGAGGGAACGCCGGAAGTGGAGAAAGGATGCTCGTAATGTTTGTGAAGGAGATCTTGTGCTTTTGTACTTGTCGTCGACGAGAACTCCCCTCGTGGGTGTTGGCCGTTAGGACGTGTGCTAAGAGCGCTCACTGGGGACGACGGGAGAGTCAGAGCAGCTGAAGTTCGAACTAAGACTGGTACCTACATCCCACCAGTCGTTACACTGTGTTTACTTGAGAGTGCGAAGCAGTGTTCACCGCCTCGTCCCGCCGTCGAACACGAGGGGGAGGATGTTCGCGCCAAAGCACCGGCACGTGACACGTTGCGTTACACGTGATCGACTGACCTTTGTATCGTTTTCAGTGGTTGTGTCGCATTACGTTGTTGTCTTTCGTTGAGAATAAATCGTCTCAAAAGGTTTACCGTTTTGTCGTCTTGAAACTACGTGAAATCGTCCTGAACAACGTCACTTCTAACAGTAAACTCAAACCCCAGCTCTTTGAAACATAAAACTCATTTTGATCATGAGCCAACTTCAGTCCCTTCTTTGTGTTAATAATACGTATGCCGATAATATGATAAAAAAAAACCACTTTATTTTCCGAGGGTAACATTAATTACTGGTGACTCAGTAGTTAACATAATGGCCTTCCCTAAGATGATCTAAAACCAGATTGTAAACCTAAACTAACAAGAAGATCTTTAAGATCTTACAACCGCGCTTTTAAAAGTTAACTGTTTTGGTAGCATGAGTGACCCGAAGAAAAAAAAACGAAAAAAAAAT